TGGCTTTTCTCCAGTGTGGATCTTCTTATGGGAATTGAGGTTAGTGTTACAAGTAAAGGTCTTTCCACATTCCATGCATGAATATGGCTTCTCTCCAGTGTGGATCTTCTTATGGGAATTGAGATGACTACTACAAGTAAAGGTCTTTCCACATTCCAGACATTCATATGGCTTCTCTCCAGTGTGGATTCTCTTATGGGAATTGAGACTACTGCTACAAGTAAAGGTCTTTCCACATTCCCGGCACTGATATGGCTTCTCTCCACTGTGGATCCTCTTATGGTAATTGAGACCACTGCTACAAGTAAAGGTCTTTCCGCACTCCATGCACTGATATGGCTTCTCTCCAGTGTGGATCCTCTTATGGTAATTGAAACCACTACTACAAGTAAAGGTCTTTTCGCACTCCATGCACTGATATGGCTTCTCTCCAGTGTGGATCCTCTTATGGTAATTGAGACCACTGTGACCAGTAAAGGTCTTTCCACATTCCAGGCACTGATATGGCTTCTCTCCAGTGTGGATCCTCTTATGATATTTGAGACCACTGCTACAAGTAAAGGTCTTTCCACACTCCATGCATTTATAAGGTCTTTCTCCTTTGTGATTTCTTTCATGACTTCTAAGAGAGTAATCATTACAGGAGGTCTTTCCACACTCCCTGGAGTTATATGGTGTGTCTTCTAAATGTGTCTTTTTATGGGAAATAAGATGATCAGATTTATTAAAGGACTTTCCACACTCCATGCATTTATATGGTTCTTCTCCCATATCAATGCTTGTATGGTTATGACGCCAACTGACCCTCGGAAAGCCTTTTTTCATTCCACCTTGTGATTGCTTTGTTTCATCACTCTTTGGCTGTATCTGATCTGGAAACTTCCCTTTTCCCTCTTTTGAATGGATCATTTGGCATTCTTCCTTGCAACTCTTATTTTCTTGCCCATTAAAGCCTTGAAAAAGAAAAAATGAAAACTTTAGCAAGAATAGGGGGAAAATCAAACCTCTTCTTCCTGATCTGATCTTTGACCTGGGACTATTTCATAGTTCCACGTACTCCCTAAGTGCACCGAATATTGTATCATGCTGGGTTAGCAACATGCCCACCAGCTACCCAACTTCAATGAAAGTGTCATCTCCACTTGTCTACAGGGAAGAATCTTTGAAAGCCAAGGGGAATTCCTGGATGGCAATAGCTCCCCACCCTCAACTTAGGCTAATATTAAACTCTGTACACAAGTGGGCACATCTCTAGGAAGAGAACATCCCTCTCAGGGCTAAATCCAGTCCTGCTTATAGCAGCTCACGCCCATCGGGGAGCCAATGACAGGCTCAGGAGTGGATACTGAACCCCTGGTAGGCAGGACCTTGCTCAAGAGAGGCCAGACCATCCCTGCATGCAGCCTGTCCCTGACATTGTGGCTAATATCTTCTATGGCATGGAAATGAATATGTTGTATTTTATGAGCAGAAAGCATTAAAAAAACCCACACATTTCCTTTATGTAAAAAGAAAGGCAAGACAGTCTCTCAATTTTTCTTCCAATAAATTTCCTTCTTCCATAAAGTCAGTTTGGTCAAACAATCAAGGCACCAGGCTAGAAACTGGGTGACTGGGAGTACTAGTTCTGCCTTAGGCATGAATGCTGGCTGGGTGACTTTGGGCCAGTCTCCCTCAGCTCAATCCAGGTCACAAGGTTCTTGTTGTGGGGAAAACAGCAGGAGGAAGGAATATTGGGGTTTGTCCGCTAGCTTTATTATTTACAAAAAGTAAAGGCAAGATNATGCTCCAACACTGGAAGTTTTTAAGAAGAGACTGGACAGCCATTTGTCCGAAATGGTATAGGGTTTCCTGCCTGAGCAGGGGGTTGGACTAGATGACCTTCAAGGTCCCTTCCAACTTTACTATTATTATTATTATTATTATTATTATTATTATTATTATTATTATTGTTGTTGTTGTTGTTGTTGTTGTTGTTGTTGAGGGAGAACTGCCACTTCCTTGATGACAATCTCCTCTACATTTATAAAGATGGGGGGGTATAGTCACAGAAAGCTGCCCATTAAAAAAACATTGCTTGATGCTTAACAGTTAGTCTCTTCAACATGAAACGCAAAGCAAATCACAGAGAATAATAAAAAAACAAAAAAGCTATCACGGAACATTTTACCGAGGCTGCCGTAAGAGGCCCATTCTTGAGGGGGAAGGAGAGAGGCCATACCATTCCTGTATGCAATCCTCCCCTCAGATTCCTGTTAATATCTTCTGTGGCATGAAAATGAGTATTTTGTATTTTATCAGCAGAAAGCATTGTGAAAGAAATCCATTTTCTATACAAAAAAGGAAACCTGTGCAGTTTTTAATTTTTTCTTTCAAAGCTCTTCTCTCACACTTCCTTTATTGATATGGTTTCTCCCGTGTATGGATCCTTCTATGCCAAGAAAGAGTGGAATTCCTGGCAAAGCTCTTCCCACACTCCATGCATTGATATGGTTTCTCCCCTGTGTGGATTCTTTTGTGGGAGATAAAATCACAATTCCACCTAAAACCCTTTCCACATTCCACACATTTATATGGCATATCTCCTATGTGGACCGTCTTGTGATAATTAAGACTACTGCTATAGGTAAAGGTCTTTCCACACTCCATACAATGATATGGCTTCTCTCCTGTGTGCATCCTCTTGTGGGAATTAAGATTAGTGTTACGAATAAAGGTCTTTCCACACTCCATGCATTTATAAGGTCTTTTTCCTTTGTGATTCCTATGATGGATTGTAAGAGAGTAATTGTAAGAGAAGGTCTTTCCACATTCCAGGCATTGATATGGCTTTTCTCCAGTGTGGATCCACTTATGGGAATTGAGACGATTGCTACAAGTAAAAGTTTTTCCACATTCCATGCATNTGGCTTTTCTCCAGTGTGGATCTTCTTATGGGAATTGAGGTTAGTGTTACAAGTAAAGGTCTTTCCACATTCCATGCATGAATATGGCTTCTCTCCAGTGTGGATCTTCTTATGGGAATTGAGATGACTACTACAAGTAAAGGTCTTTCCACATTCCAGACATTCATATGGCTTCTCTCCAGTGTGGATTCTCTTATGGTAATTGAGACTACTGCTACAAGTAAAGGTCTTTCCACATTCCCGGCACTGATATGGCTTCTCTCCACTGTGGATCCTCTTATGGTAATTGAGACCACTGCTACAAGTAAAGGTCTTTCCGCACTCCATGCACTGATATGGCTTCTCTCCAGTGTGGATCCTCTTATGGTAATTGAGACCACTACTACAAGTAAAGGTCTTTTCGCACTCCATGCACTGATATGGCTTCTCTCCAGTGTGGATCCTCTTATGGTAATTGAGACCACTGTGACCAGTAAAGGTCTTTCCACATTCCAGGCACTGATATGGCTTCTCTCCAGTGTGGATCCTCTTATGATATTTGAGACCACTGCTACAAGTAAAGGTCTTTCCACACTCCATGCATTTATAAGGTCTTTCTCCTTTGTGATTTCTTTCATGACTTCTAAGAGAGTAATCATTACAGGAGGTCTTTCCACACTCCCTGGAGTTATATGGTGTGTCTTCTAAATGTGTCTTTTTATGGGAAATCAGATGATCAGATTTATTAAAGGACTTTCCACACTCCATGCATTTATATGGTTCTTCTCCCATATCAATGCTTGTATGGTTATGACGCCAACTGACCCTCGGAAAGCCTTTTTTCATTCCACTTTGTGATTTCTTTGTTTCATCACTCTTTGGCTGTATCTGATCTGGAAACTTCCCTTTTCCCTCTTTTGAATTGATCATTTGGCATTCTTCCTTGCAATTCTTATTTTCTTGCCCATTAAAGCCTTGAAAAAGAAAAAATGAAAACTGTAGCAAGAATAGGGGGAAAATCAAACCTTTTCTTCCTGATCTGATCTTTGACCTGGGACTATTCCATGGTGCCACGTACTCCCTAAGTGCACCGAATACTGTATCATGCTAGGTTAGCAACATATCCACCCGGTCCCGAATTTCAATGAATGTCTCATCTCCACTTGACTTCAGGGAAGAATCTTTGAAAGCCAAGGGGAATTCCTGGATGGCAATAGCTCCCCACCCTAAACTTAGGCTGTTAAACTCTGTACACAAGTGGGCACATCTCTAGGAAGGGAACATTCCTCTCAGGGCTAAATCCAGTCCTGCTTATAGCAGCTCACACCCATCGGGGAGCCAGTGACCAGGGTCAGGAGTGGATACTGAACCCCTGGTAGGCAGGACCTTTGCTCAAGAGAGGCCACACCATCCCTGCATGCAGCCTCTCCTTCAGATTCTGGCTAATATCTTCTATGGCATGGAAATGAATATTTTGTATTTTATGAGCAGAAAGCATTAAAAAAACCCACACATTTCCTTTATGTAAAAAGAAAGGCAAGACAGTCTCTCAATTTTTCTTCCAATAAATTTCCTTCTTCCATAAAGTCAGTTTGGTCAAACGATCAAGGCACCAGGCTAGAAACTGGGTGACTGGGAGTACTAGTTCTGCCTTAGGCATGAATGCTGGCTGGGTGACTTTGGGCCAGTCTCCCTCAGCTCAATCCAGGTCACAAGGTTCTTCTTGTGGGGAAAACAGCAGGAGGAAGGAATATTGGGGTTTGTCCGCTAGCTTTATTATTTACAAAAAGTAAAGGCAAGATTATCAATAAATGATGTTTTTTATCAGAAATATCATCTAAGCCCCCCCACACCCCATGACTTCTATGTTTCTGAGCACAGACAGGGATTCTTACCCAGAGAAGCCAGATTCCTGGAATTCT